AATGGATTTAGCTAGTCAAACATTTTAGATAATAGGCTGATATGTGTCAGGTCCTTATTTCACTTCGTTTATAGGTTTTTAAGTGCCTTAAAGTGTCCAACTTTATATTATCTGCTGGCTTAATTCGTAGAAACCACAAAGAGAACAGGTTTGCGATCTATGCGATAATCTTGTGAATAAATTAAGGACAATTTAGGCGTAAGAATTTTTTCAACATGTTGAAAATCGAAGCAACAACATAACGAAGGCCTGCGACTCGTGCGACGAAATTAAGAGCTTTCGAAGCATTTTGGAAACTATCCTGCGAATGCCGTTCGCAAGTGTGTCGCTCACATTGGCATGCCAGTGTGACAGGGGTTTGATACTATACAAAATGAATGCGTATGTCATTCAAATGATGTACGAATGTCGAACGCATTCCCTGCGAAATATCTTATAAAATTCTTTAATACATTGTATGTCGCGGGAATATCGTCCGACTATATCATGATGCCATTTTGTCATCTGTTTTGCATGATTGCGAAATATTTGAACTTGCGAAATATGCACTAGATCCATGCAAAAATCTAACGACAGTAACCATTAAAGAATGAAAAAAGAAAAGTCAGCCAAATAAATGCAAAGTTGAATTTCAACGGTCAGACATCACTTTAAATGGATCAAGCATTGGCTCAAAACCTAAATCTGGCTGCAGGCGACAACGTCATGATAAAGGCTGAGGATGTGCCATTGCTGCTGCTTGTGCGGCCAAAAAAAGCCACGACCAAAACAAAGAGCGAAGCAAAAGAGGATCATGAAATGGGCGGGCGAATGGTTAAGAGAATGATATTTGATAGCACCTAAGTATGGAATGTACGACAAGCTTATTAAGCACCTGAGATGTGAAGTCTTTCAACGGCTTGTTAGAGTTGACTTTGTTAGAGATGATCCGGAGTAATTCAATAAAATGATGGAAGATTTAGGTCCTATCAAATGGAAAAAGAAACTTTCAGCTGTTCAATAATTTGAAGCTTGCCATCACGCTTAGGTAACTTGCGAACAGGGATTCATACATGTTGCTGTCATGGGTGTCCAAAAATACGTCGGCAAAATTGTCCGAGAGATATGTTAGACAAAATATGACCACTTTCATGTAGCAACATTCAAAATCCAAATCCAATGAAACTTCAATCATTGCTGTGTCAGCATCGACTACAAGCATGTAAAAATACAAGCTCCGCTTTGGTCAGGCCGCGTTTTCTAAGAAACTCGATTATCATGATTGCTCTAGTTGCACCAACAAAAATTTAATATTTGTTAATTTTGGCGCCTACGGTGCTGACTCTGATGTTGGAGTGTTTTTTGAGTGCGGCACTCTTAACGCACAGTAGCCCTAGACAATACTTCGCAAGCTCATATGACAATATTTGTTAAGTACATTATTAGTCACATACCGTCCATAACCCATCACAAACCGCATTTTTTCAACATGCTGAAATTTCAAGGGACAAGATAACGAAGACCTACGATCCGTGCAAGAAATTAAGAGCTATGAAATATAATAAAGAAATGAGACAAAGTCAGACAAAAATAATGAAGCACTTAAGAGACGAAAGTGATGAAAATTCTTTCAAAAACTTTGTTACAATTGGCCCGTCATTCGGCATAATGATGACAGACTTCAAAAGAAATAAACTTCAACTCACCACTCAACTGAAGCTTGCCATCATGCTCAAGAACCTTACCACTTGTGATTTATACATTTCATGTGGGTTCCAAGTGGCCCACAAAACCGTCGTCAAAGTTTTGCAATAGGTATGTCAGATCATATATGTGACAACTATCATGTGGAGCATTCAAATTTCCAAGTATAGAAGAGGACTAGAAGTAGGTGGCTGAGGGTTTCTCTGAGCATTGGCCTTTCCTTCACTGATGTGGCAGAATCGATTGCAAATATGTAAGGATACAAGTCCGCCGGGGCCAGGCAGTGTCTAATACGGCTACAAAGAGGCTTTAAAGACTCTAACCACAAGGTGCAAGGTGACATACATTTAACATTTATTTTGGCATGTATGGTGCTGACTTTGTTGCTGGAGAGTTTTTGGAGTGCAGCATACTCTGAGACTGGATCCGTTATTTCTTTGTGGGGCCTTGGGAGTTTTTTTTACATAGGCATGGCATATTGAAAATACAACTGTCGCTCGGACAGATATCAGTTTAAGATTAAAGCGCGAGAAGTTGTAGTTTCTGTTTGAAGGGGGTCCTTTCGCCCGTTAAACCACAAAATACAGAGTTCGTTGTCGGGTACACAACCCAATCACCAGTCATTCTATTGAAGTACAACGTAGTGGTTTTTGATGACCTTGAAAATTCCGTAGACAATCAGCCACAGAGATAACTTTAAAGTCAAAAGTAGATCAATGTACACATAACGTACAGTTACCCAACTTGAAGACAATATTTTAAAGTTAAGGTAGCCCTGATTAGGTCGATGGATGGTTGGATGGATGGGTTGATTCTCTATGTTTAATATTTTGATGTAAAGGAGGCCAATAAGAATGATATGAATCACGCAGAAAAGTAATTTTTTTCTACCAAAATAAATGATTATATCCTTTGGACGGGCTTGATTGATTGATAAGGTTATGCAATCCAGATTGGTAGCTGACGCATGTATTCGGCAAGGACAGCTAACATTCAAGATTCTTTTCAGTTTTTCGAAATTTGAATGAAAATTTAGCAAAATTGGACTAGTTCCTGTTAAAAATTTTGTATATTATTGAAAATACCCCAAGCCGGTGAAAAATAAATGATATTATAAAGCATAGTGAGGGACAGCAAATGATAAAAACAGACGTTTTATTTTGTTTTGCCTTTTCACTGAAGGTAGCTTTAAACAAACGGGGACTTTTCTCTATCATTCTTCTAAGACCATTTGAGCCGCCCATGTTCTAAAGAATATATCTCATATGGGGTTGTCAGTAAAAAAGACTGTATTTCATTAAATTGCATTAGCTTGTCAAACTTGGCTGGTGTGGATCAGGGCTTTATTTAACTTCATCTTAAGGTTTCTAAAGGGCATTAAAGTGTCCAACTTCATATTATCTGCTGGCTTTATTCGAGGAAAAACACAAAGAAAACGGTATGTGTTCTCGATATATGCGATGATTTCGAGACTAAATGGAGAGAAATTTAGTCACGCTGAACATTCAAGCGACAAGAAAACAAAGGCATACGACTCGGTGAAATTGATAGCTTTCGAGACATTTTCAAAGCTATCTCGTGAATGTAAGTATGTGGCCGTTATTCACATCCATCTACGTCAACTTCGACTACAAAGAAGCTTGGTAGGCTCCAACCACAAGTTTATATATGCTAATGTTGGCATCTATTGTGCTGACTATAATGCTGGAATGTTTTGTGTATGCGGCCTACTATGAGACTGGCTCCGTTATTTCTGTGTTGGGCCTTGGTGCAGGGAGAGTTTTTCCTTTACATCGGCGTGGCACAATGAAAATACAACTATTGCTCGGACAGATACCAGTTTAAGATAAAAGCGCGAGTAGAAGTAGTTTGTATTCGCTGTCGAGTCACCATTCATTCCTTTGAAGTACAAAGTGGTGATTGTTGAACTCGGTGAAATTATCATAGAGTATTAGCTTAAGCCGAAATTATTTGGTAGATAAACTTCTAAAGGTACTGTAACCTGAAAAAAATGAAATGTTGAGGTAGTCCTGATAAGGACGTTGGTGGCAACGAAAGAGTCTATCTTTCTAGCCGTTAAGGCGTACTTGGGGCTCACGCACCCTATGTCCTCCTTGTCGTCCGTGCCTTCTTTGTAAGGCCATTTCTCTCGTATGTATGTATGTATGTATGTATGTATGTATGTATGTATGTATGTATGTATGTATGTATGTATGTATGTATGTATGTATGTATGTATGTATGTATGTATGTATGTATGTATGTATGTATGTATGTATGTATGTATGTATGTATGTATGTATGTATGTATGTATGTATGTATGTATGTATGTATGTATGTATGTATGTATGTATGTATGTATGTATGTATGTATGTATGTATGTATGTATGTATGTATGTATGTATGTATGTATGTATGTATGTATGTATGTATGTATGTATGTATGTATGTATGTATGTATGTATGTATGTATGTATGTATGTATGTATGTATGTATGTATGTATGTATGTATGTATGTATGTATGTATGTATGTATGTATGTATGTATGTATGTATGTATGTATGTATGTATGTATGTATGTATGTATGTATGTATGTATGTATGCGTGTGTGCGTGCGTGTATGTATGTATGTATGTATGTATGTATCTGTATGTATGTATCTGTATGTATGTATGTGTGTATTTATGTGTGTGTACGTGCGTGCGGGCGTGTGTGCGTACGTCTTGTTCAACGAAAACATTTTTTATACATTTTATCTATGAGTAAATATATAATGGCGTTTATATTTATTTACAAATGTCAATGTCATTTAGGTAGTTAAACGCCATTGAATATGCACATAGAAATAAGCTTTTAATCAAATTTTATAGTTTCAAGTTTCAAAAATCTTGTATGCAATTCATGTATTGATATTTTTGAAAATTTGAAAGAAGAAATTCAAAACCAAAAAGACACACAGAAAGTAATTTGCACAGAGAAATCTTCAATTATAGAAGAATAATGTAAGAAGAAGAATGATTAGAACATCTGACCCCAGTGCACAAAACTTTACTATGATTAGCAAAACTAAATGCAAGAAAAGTTTTAACTATCTTTTCACATTTACATGTATTTACAGCATTTCCGTATTTCTTACGGTTAACGTGGTAATTGGTCTGATATCTGTTGTTTACGCATGACCACTTGTTTACTGTTGTGGTGACAATAAACCCAGTGTAAGAAATACATAAGTCATATATAACGATTATCACCAAAAACGTTATGTATATATGGGCTATAGTGTTATCATTATTATCGGAAGGGTACAAAATTGACTGATGATAACAGTAATTTGACAGTTTAATTTTTTAACGGTTATTTCTTTAAATTGTATCGGATATTGTTTAGAAATAAAGGACAGATATTTGGGATAAAAGAAAAACGGCCTTCTCGTGCAGTGACATATTGTGGGTTTGTACATTTAAATGTCAGCTATTGACTTTAAACAAAGTATGCAAATAATCATCAAATATATAAACAGATAAAATAAACGAAGAGTGTTTGTATCATACAGATATCATACAGATATCAACACTAGTTCTGATCTAGCTAGCAAATAGAAATAAAGTACAAATAATCGCGCAGACAATAAGAAAATTCAATAATAACAACATTCTTTTTAAACACAAAAATTAGTTTCCTGTGTTAGAAGATGCCTCCATTGCATGCCCTTTCCCTGTTGATCTTGTTTTTTCATAATTCATTTCGCACATATCTGAGGGAAAAACGAAAAATTATGAATGTGTTGTACAATCATACATAAAATGAATGACAGCATATATATACGCAAGTGGTCAAAGCAAGGAAATTGTGAAACCCAGATTCCAGTTGTAAATGGTATAATTATGTAACAAAATATCATAATCAAATATTGAAATATTGTTTATCATTTGTCATTTGTCTTAGATCAGTTTTGTTTCTATACACTTTTTAATTTCAGGTTATTTCGCTAATGTTATACGAGAAAAAAAGATAAAATGGAAGATGTCCTGTTTAATTTGTGGTTTATGACTGTCTTATTCATCGGTTTAATGTATATAGGATTTAGCAATGCAGATATTATATATAAAAGGTTGATTATAACCTTTGTTTATGTTAATCTTATCATCTGGATCTATAGTAGAAGGGGAGTTGAGGATGTATTTTACAACGTGCTCTTGTCTTCAGCCTGGGTCTGGACATTTAATCAAAATAGTACGCAAGAGCGTACCTGTTTCACTTGCAGGGAACCATCTCATTTTAATACCAAAAAGGTAACGCAAAGTTAAGTATACCTTTATCATTAACAAAACATTCTACTTAAAACACTTCTTCTTTAAAGATGAATGTATTAATATATTTCTATTTCATAAATTCCCAATAAGTGCCTATGCCATAAGAGATTTTAACAATCAACTACTGTATTAGTCTAATAATCAAAACCACTTTTTTGTTGTTGTTGCCTAGTATAAACTCAACATTACACGACTTTACTTAAGTTATTTTCTTAGAACTATGGTGGCTAATTTAGGTACATATATTGTTGTATTTTTACTTTACTAAGTGAACTGTTGTTGTGTTTTGTCTAATCGATAATTGAAAGCCATCAAAGGAAGAGCGTAAATAAGACATTAAACATGTGTCATTGTTTCGTCATTACAACGTAGTGCCGTTTCCTTTTTACGGCGAAAACACGAAGACACAACAAAGTCAAACGTTGTCGTCCCTTGACATTTTTGCATTTTTGTCATCATTATGCATTTTCGTTTTATCACCTTTGAATATGTCTTTTAAATTACTAAGTAATTTACTCGTTAAATGTGACTCCACATGAGAAGATACGAAAATGCAAAAAGCAAAAAAAAAAAAAAAAAAAAAAAAAAACACGACAAACATAATTATACGGACAAAACAACAAGATATTAACGGAAAAGTTAAAGCAAATAAGAGAAAATGAGAAATTACAAAATAAGGCGGCAACACGACAAATTTTATATGTCTTTTCTCCAGTCACTTTACATAGAGTTTATGTTTGTTTAATTAACCAAACAAAAATAATTTAGTGGCTGATTTGCCACATGTCGTCCTTTCTGTCAAGCATGCGCAAACATTTCACTCAGCAGGGCTTTAGGCGAAGGAACGTGACTTTAAATAAATGCCCAGGGGTCAAAATTTGCCCCGCCCTAGGGGGTCATTGATTTTCCTTACATGTTTTAAGTAAAAGCTCAAAAGATCTACTTAAAAAAGAACAAAGTGCTAGAGCTTTAATATTAGACAAGAAGCATCCTTTAGTGAGTGACTACCAAGTTTGTTCAAATAAAAGCCATGGGGTCAAAATTGGCCCATTCCCAAGGGTGTCATTTATTTTCCTTATATGATTAAAGCAAAATCTGAATTAAATCATCTCTTAAAAAGTCAAAATAGCTAGAGCTTAGATATTAAGCATGGACATCTTCTGGTGAGTGTCTACCAAGTTTGTTTAAATAAATGCCCTGGTGTCATAATTTGCCCCGCCCTTGGAGTCATTGATTTTTCCTACATGTATAAAGTAAAACTTAATTAAAAAAAGACCCAAAGAGCCAGAGCTTTAATATATGGCATGAAGCATCTTTAAGTGAGTGACTACCAAGTTTGTTCAAGTAAAAGCCCTGGGATAAAAATTTGCCACCTCCGGGGGGGGGGGGGCATTTATTTTCTTTATATGTATATAGTTAACACTTAAAAAGTCAACACTTAAATTTTTTTTAAAAAATCCAGAGCTTAGTTATTAAGCATGAAACTTCTTCTGGTGTCTACCAAGTTTGTTCAAATAAAAGCCCTAGGGTCGAAATCATTCTTGTTCATGGAGAGTTGTTTATATACAGGTAAGCGATTTCAGGGCCATCATGGTCCTCTTGTTATTATTGTTAAAGTCCTATCTATTCACTGCTACTGATTACCATGTATATTGCTAACATAATCAATTTACCTTTTAAGCGTAAAGCAGAACCTCAACTATCTGAAGTTATCAGCAAGAAGATCACAACAAATGGTTTGTACATTCATTAACTGATTATAAATGATTAAAAAATCTCGTTTTATAACGTTTTACACACTAAAATACGTAGACTTTAAAATACAGTACAAGGTTTTAAAACAAGATATGTTTGTAAAACATGGATGTGGCCAGGCTATTATGACTGTCTTTTGCACAAGTGACCAAAACATCAATAGGGATTATTTACTGGTAATGACTAGTCACAAGGTAATTGTGACTGTAAAGGTTTTGTCCAGCAATTTTATGACAAAGTTATCACAAATCTTCCCAAATAATGTATGCATATATTTTATGAATGATGTGGGCCTCCTTATTGACAACCAATTTGTTATATTACATAAGACCTTGAAATGTGTTAACCAAAAGCATTTTAGTTTAAAAAAAAATATCAACCAAGGCAACTTGATTTTTTGAGTTATTGGTCCTGCACACGGTCAATGTGACCTTGAACTTTGACCCAAAAACCGATAAGGGTCATCTCAGTTATTGATCGAAAACCGTTATTACCTACAAGGTCAAAGTGATCTTGACTTTTGACCCCAACACCAATATTTATAAGGATCATTTATTGGTAATGAGCAATCATCATACCAAATTTAAAGTTCCTAGGCCTAAGCGTTCTTTAGTTTTTGATCGGAAACCGTTGTTACCTACAAGGTCATTGTCACCTTGACCCTTGACTCAGAATCAATAGGGACCATCTACTGGTCATGAGTAATAATCATACCAAGTTTGAAGTTTCTAGGCCTTAGCGTTCTTTAGTTATTGAACGGAAACCCTTTTTACCTACAAAGTCGAAGTGACCTTGACCTTAGACTTCTTGACCCCAAAATCAATTGATGTCATCTGCTGGTCATGACCAATCATCACACCAAGTTTGAAGTTCCTAGGTCTGAGCGTTCTTTAGTTATTGATCGGAACCGTTTTTACCTACAAAGTTAAGGGGACCTTAACCTTTGACCCCTTTACACCAATATCAATAAGTGTCATCTCCTGGTCATGACCAATCATCATACCAAGTTTGAAATTCCTAGGCCTAAGCCTTCTTTAGTTATTGATCGGAAACCTTTTTAGCTAAAAGGTCAATATGACCTTGACCTTTGACCCCTTGACCCTAAAATCAATAGGAGTCATCTACCTGTCATGACTAATCATCATGTTAAGTTCCTAGGCCTAAGGACTCTTTAGTTATTGATAGCAAACCATTTGGTCTACGGACCAACGACCGACCGACCGACCAACCGACGACAGACAGACAGACAAATGCAAAACAATATACCGCCACTTCTTTGAAGAGGGCATAATTATGACTTGTGCAGGTGCGCCAAGCCAAATCAATAGTATTTTAGTCTCTATATTGCAACGTCTTTCAAAAGACATTTAACCCCGTTTTTTTTAATCTTTTCAGAGACAGTCACGCATATTTACGACTCTTGTGAAAGCGAAATTTCGAAAAAAGTGGTTGACATAATAATGGATGCAATGTTTAAAAAGTACAAAAAAACTTAACAAATTGTCCAGTGATGAGGAAATGAAATTTGATCGTCCAGTTATAGTTGTTGCCATACTTGACACGAGGTTCATATCCAATATAGAAGGCGCCTTAAGTAATATTAATGGTAAGAATGGTATGAAATCTTAATTAAAGTAATATGTTATAACAAACAAAAATTTACCTTTTTGTAGTATTTTGCTAAAATCTACAAATTATAAAACAAATATGATTGAATGAATTTGGTCGATGTAAAATAATTTATGTAATTAAAGGCACATACTAGTATTTTGTTTATGTTTCAAAACTTTTTAATTTTGATGTCCTGTTTTAGTTTCAACAAATTACTCATTGGCCAGTTTTCCGAATAATCATTTGCTTCTGTTGCGTTTTGGCAAATTGTAGAAATATAGTGATAAACTATTTTGTATGAAGAAAAAAAACACTATTGGCATATTTTTACTAAGTTTATTAAACCTAATTTCATATTCAAAGCAACTTTCGTCAGATGATAAGCATCTGAAATGCTTTAAAATCATTGTGTAAATGTTATAAAGCTCATGTTATCCTTTTCTGAAGATTGAATAAATACAAAATTGTTGCAGAAGAATAATGCACATTGTATAAAGGAACAGATCTGTGAACAAAAGTGTCATTTAATTACTTCAATCTACTCTGTTCTTAAGTGTTTACCCTTTATTCTTTTACAATTAGACTAGTCTAAATTTCAAATAGTTGTATACCTTGTTTTCAGAACAACACTATAATAAGGTTGCTCTTGTTATTGGTCATGTGAAAATAAAAGATAAGACAGCACGGGCGGCAGAATTGAAAACTCATGAAAAATATGGGAAGCTTGGACTTTGTGTGGACTTCTTTTATGAAAACACCAACGACTTCTTCATGAAACAACTTATCTTTAACAAATACATGGAGTCGTTAATTAATTTGATAGGTTTTAATAAAATGATATCCTACCGTAACAAAGATGCATTCGATAAACTAGAAAAATTTATCGACGAATTTTAAGCTTATCATGTGATGCTGCAGGAAAGATCATCTCTCTGTATACGCTATCGAGTAACAGTGTCAGTGTGTATTTTGAAATTGATGCATGTTGTCAGATCATAATATCACATGTCACATATAGTGCAACTTCGTAGCCACTGAAAACCGAAAACATGTTGGGCTAGCAGATTTTTAAAGTTTCTGTTATTTAGAAGTTTTGAATTATCTGAATATGTAGAAAGCATCAGCTACGTAACACATAATAAAAAGTACATGGTGTTGATAAAATTCATAAAATGGCAAAAATTGATGTTTCGTAAAAAGTTAATAAAATTTATAATACACATTACTGACGTTGTTGATACAATAGCATAAACTCAACATCACAACCTATCCATAAACATTTATTTGTAGTACCAGCTATTAACGTTTATTTTTTTGTTTTCGTAATATATTTATCAGTTTCTTTTACTTACACTTTAATCAAGGGCTTGACATGCTTGGCAGGTTTTGATTCTAATGAAGTCAAAATAAATAGTCACTGCTGACATTTTGCATGTTTTATAAACTCAAGTATAATAATCCTTCAAACCCTGTACAATTTCTGGATTTTGGAAGTAGATTTTAAATAAATGTAATTGATATAAACGTAAACGATTACAATGGCCCTCTATTGCAAAGTAACGTCGAATTTCAATTACAAGCCGCGTAAAAAAGACATTTTAAAGAATGGTAAATTGTCGCCTGGTTTGGTGTTTAGAATACAATGGAATAACAACTAACTTTCAGTCAATATTGCGTAATCGATGTCTTATAAACAGTCATCTTGTTCGCCTCGGAACTTTTATAAGAGATGATTTTGTGAATAAATAACACTTGGTATCGTATTTCGTTCGGAATTAATAAATTTATAGTATTTTTTTTGTAAACGTTGCCGTTCTTAGAATAACAAATGAGGTTGTGGTCGATGTAAATGCCTAGCGCATCTTTCTTTAACAAAAACAATCTGACAGTTGCCTATTTTGATAGTCAAATTATTGTTATGTAAGGTTTGATAACAATCAGCATGCAATTGTTTTGTCATGATGTATGCCATTTTATTAGTTGACATAACTTCCAATAATACTTAATTATTTGAAATGTACTGCCGTCGGATTGGCACTCCCATATAATGTTGTGTCGTCTGCATACATATCGGTGTAACTAATTTTCATTTAAAGTTTTTAATTTTAAGTATAAATCCCTGAAGGCAAACCAAAATTACGGTTTTATATTGTAATTCAAAAGCTCAAATTTGTAGAACATGTGGGAAAGATAGCCATTTACATATTTTATGGCATGGTTTAAATTTTGTTTCTTTATTCTTGATAATCAATTACATTCAGTACACGTTTAATATTAAAGTTCATTTTTTATTTTTGCGCCTGCTATATATCACTTCAGTGTTGTATGTGTTTTTGTTTTTAAGCGTTTTTGATAGTGTTCCCTAAATGTTGGTGCTATGAGGTACATCCTGTATAGAAATTTTCCTGTTAAATAACTTTCTTAATTCTTATCCAATTCAGGTCCTTGATAAAATAGTAAATAATCGTTTTCATTGAAATAGATTTTAAAATCCATCTTTTGCCATGTAATTTAATATCACAATCATACAACGTTTAGCATAATAATAGTTTGTCATGTTTTTACAGCATTTTTTTCTGTGTCAGTGTTTATCAAACTAATCGTGAACATCCACATTTTTCTGATTTCTCACTTTTTGGATTTTACAATAAGATAATGCGATAAAACGGTTACCGTATCGAACTAGACTATTATGATGAAATATATTGGGCTGGGACTACAATGTGGCCATACCACGTGACCTTTCGGGTACGGAACACGCCGATTTTTTACCCGATTCAGGTATGTTTTTTATTCATAACTTATTTATTACTCAACCGATTTTGATCAGATAAGGCGCAGAGTACCCGTAATTATATCAGTTATCCACGGTATATCAAAATTCTGAAAACCCCTAAATAGTTTTTGAGAACATTCGAGTACAGTTTTCTTTTCATAGCCTGGGCCGAGGGGAACGGTACACACTCATTTGGCATAACAGGCGATTTCTAGCAAGTCATATGTTTTTTGACACTATTTCATAGAAAAATACTTGTTAAATCTGATATATTTACTATGTCCAATGTATCGAGTGAATGCAATGATGTTTTAGCATATTTTCATAAAGTTATGTTGAAATGATACGGAACACACTGTTATTTCAAAAGATACTGTATACACACAATTTCTGTCTTTGAAACAATTCTAAAATAAAATATATAAAAAAATTAATTCAAATTATAATGTGAGTGATTTTTGTCATAGTTATACATTTTATTAATTTAAACGAGAACCCTGGGACCTGTTTTGCAAAGTATCATTATGCCTACAGTTTGATGTAAACAGGATTATTCAAAAAATAAAAGACAATTTGAGAGTACGTTGCGCAAAATTCGATTTTATATGTTGAGCAATTAATATTTGGCTATAAAATGTTAAAATTTTAGGGAGGAATACGGAAGACATTCAAAATATTGTTTTGTTTTGATTTTCATTTGAAACAATTAGGTATATTCTTTTGATTATAAAACGAATTGTGAAATTCATGGACATCTGTTATGTGTGATTATTATTTCATTTAATTTGTTTGTTCGAATATATAAATGACTGTCTAAACGTAGTATGAATATATAAACAAACAAGAAGTTAGGAGTAAGTTGGAAATATATGTTCCTTGCAAAATGTTGTTTAAATAATCGAATTTGGAGGAAAAACGCTGGTTTTGATGTAAGAGGATTTTTTTAAATCACGGAAAGTTTAAAGTTTTTTTTCGGCCACATAATATTTGGTATGAATAATCTGCCAGGGTCCCAAACTAACTGCATGTATCTAAATTATCAAATTATCTACATATGGACAAATATATTTCGCAGTTTTACGTGAAATCAAAATTAATAATTTGATAATTTGAAGAACCCATATGGGAACAAGGCCTGTTATATATCGTAACGTAAGCCGTAGTTTATACAAGGTAACCTTGTTACATATACATGTAAGGATAAACATGTTAGGAAATTTGGTAAAATTATGCCTATCTTGGACTTTCATTTCAAGATGCATTAAACACTTGAGTTCATGGATATGTGTGCTTGCGTGTTTGTGTTAAAAATAAAATGATATTTAATAATACCCATTTTGTCAATCAAATGCTATGGATTTTGGAGGCTGCGTTCTGTTTTATATACTACATGAAGTAGGTACGAGACCACAAGTGTCACTTCGATGTTTCGATTTTTTATGTGAGAAAGTTTTCTTACTACCGTACAGAATGTCGGTCGTTTTACTCAGGTGCCCGTTCGTTCCTTTATTTGTACCCAAAGGGGCACTTGTAAAACTCGAAAGTCGCCACATGATAATGTCAGTTTTATGAGCCGTGAAACCAAACCAAAAAATGACCTCATTACATGAATTAAAAGTTATTTTTAAAGCTTCATGCCTTTAAACATTAAAAATTTAAGCAATGGCGACTACATTTTTATTTGTTTGGGTCGTCAGACAAAACAAATAATGGTAGCGAAATTTCAGGCTCTGATATGCTTATTTGCAAAATAAGAAAGTAGTCCGAACCCCTGGAAGCGGTTACTTACCTTTATATGTACTCTAACGCTGAAAAATAAGGGGGGATCACTGTGTTAAGATTGTCAAATGACGGGCGCATTAATTTTCAAGCCTTCTCGGGAGAAGAAAAAGTAGTTCCCGATTGGTCAAAGATTTCAAATATTGTGTAATTCTTTACAGATATACATGTAATATTAAGCTCCATGATTATTTACATCAGTGTCAAACGAAATTAATAAGGGTTACAAACCCTAATTTAGAATGATATGGTTTTCTTCAGACTGTTATCTTATAACTTCCCCGTGGTCGAGGGGTTACACGCTCTTTTAGGAAGAGAGATGTCCTGAGTTCAAATCCAAGTTAAGGCATGTTTTTTTTTTGTTTGTTTGTTTTTTAATTGTTTAAGCCAAATAAACAATGCATTACATATCAGTGTTGCAATAAGCCTTATAGCCAATTTACTACAGTTATGATACTAGAAACAACATTGGTGGCACTATACAAAAACAAATTGGTTTACAATCTCACAGCCTCCACCTTTCTGACATTCTGAGACCCAAACAAATTCAGTGCCTTCTGTGATTTGATTTAATTAAACATGACCATGATATTGCAAAATTGTACCTAATGACTTGCTTATTATTAACAAAATATAAATATATATAAATTGTTATCAAGTAATGATACTTTTTAGCGATTTAGGTCATGACCTTGTTTTATTTTTTCAGGATGAAGCAAAAAGACATATCTTACTTCACTTAAACTAAAAGAAATAAAAAACAACAATAAACACAGCATTATATAACAACATTTTCTTTCTATAGAGCGCAACTACCTGATTCTGTGAAGATTGAAGTGTTTAACATACCCTAGGTGATTTTAAATAGGACAATTACATGGAGGTTGTAAATGTTAAGCGTGATCTCTTGAAATATAGTGCACAAATACATATAAACATTAAAAGTAAGCATTACGATACATTGCAAAAGAGGTCCCTTGGTTCTCGTTTAAATTAATAAAATGTATAACTATGAAAAAAATCACTCACATTATAATTGAAATTAAATTTTAGTAATTTTTATTTTAGAATTATTACAAAGACAGAAATTGTGTGTGTACCGTATCTTTTGAAATAACAGTGTGTTCCGTACCATTTCAACATAACTTTATGAAACTATGCTAAAACATCACTGCATTCACTCGATACATTGGACATAGTAAATATATCAGATTTAACATGTATTTTTCTATGAAATAGTGTCAAAAAACATATGACTTGCTAGAAATTGCTTGTTATGGCAAATGAGTGTGTACCGTTCCCCTCGGCCCAGGCTATGAAAAGAAAACTGTACCCGAATGTTCTCAAAAACCATTCAGGGGTTTTCAGAATTTTGATATACCGTGGATAGCTGATATAATTACGGGTACTCTGCGCCTTATCTGATCAAAATCGGTTGAGTAATAAATAAGTTGTGAATAAAAACATACCTGAATCGGGTGAAAAATCGGCGTGTTCCGTACCCAAAAAGTCACGTGGTATGGCCACATTGGACTACATGCCGGGATTTTTCTGGAAAAAAATGATCTCAGTCTTAGGGCCTCTATTGCTTTCTGTAGAGAAATACCTCCGGTGTCGACCCAATCCATATTTCAACATAACAGCCTGACTCTCGTTGCTATACTTTATATATCAAGTCACATATAATCGTCAATTTTCGGATTCTGAAGTAAATTATATGGAATTTTAAAGATGACAATGGTAATGAAAGTATTGTTTTTGAACATACGCTCTTTCCGGTAAATAGTTATTTACCGTAAACATTTATGATCATATGTTATTTAAAAATAAATTTAATCTGATACATATCCAATGCATGTATAATGGTAT